AGAAAGTTGACCAACATCTTGGGGACTGTCGAAGAGACATACCAGATCTCTAGGAAGGAGAAATTCCCCAGGAATATGTACATAGGTGTGTGAAGTCTCTGGTCACACCACACTGCACAGAGAATAGCACCATTTCCTGTTATGGTCAGAATGTAGGTTGTGGTAAAGAGTGAGAAGAAGAGGCTCTGCATCTGCCATTCAAAAGGGAAACCTAGGAGTATAAATTCACTCACAGAAGCAAAACTGGAGTCTGGCTTGGAGACATTCATTGGATCAGTAATCTGCAAATATAAGAGAAACATTATTATAAATATGGCTCTTTTAAAATGTATTCATTTTTTAAGAATCAAGAGAAGGAGGGCCAAGGGCATGTCATTTGCAGAAAAATACCATCCGTTAAAAAAACAATTTATTCCACCCTTTCTTGACCATATACCCTGTTTCTTGTCAGAAACCAACTTTTGCCTACTTCTGAGCCTCTCTCTTACTACATGGCAATGAAAGAAAGAAGCAAAGTTAAATTCTTTTTGTAAGCGTGTTGGTTTGCATCAGGAATGATCTATGATAATTTCTGGCTAGGACTGAGCACAAAATTAGCAGTTAATAAATGTATTACTTTCTTACCTATACCCATCTATCCTGCAATAGAGCCAGGAAAGGAGATTTTAGGTTCAACATGACTATGTGCATCTCAGTAGAGGTCTTACTTATGTCCTATAAATATGCAAAGGAAGCAGATATTTTTGGAGTAAATTGGCATTCTTTTAAAGTAAAACCACTTGCTGTTGCCATAAGCATCACCAACACTGACCATGAATGTGTACATGTTGTGATGTAGCAATAGCTTCTGTAGTAACAAAGGTCTTACGTTTATGATTAATTTTCCACATTTAAAGAAAAGTTCAAAAAGAAAGATACGTAATCAGCTTCATTATTTTTTTTAAATGGCAGTTGTTCTCTAAATATGCAGGGTTGATTTTCCCTATGTGCTGGTACAAAATGAAACTAAATTCACATGACTGAATCTGGGTGATGAAGGTCCAATCCATTTTTAGTCATGAGTAAATGCCCTTCATATCCCATCTCATGGAAAAGATATGGGATATCAAGCATGGGAGTTAGGTGAAAATTTTTTTTGCGTGTTTTGTGATATTTAGTGATAAAAATCCCAGAAACTCTTGAGTACTTACATTCTGAGCACAAGCACAGACTTTTCAAAACAATTTCTTCCTCCAACCTACTGTCCACTCCTCTGTTCTTGGGTGTTGTTTGAAATGGCCATGCGGAGGCTGTTTGTGCTTCATCCAGGAACATGTATCTCTATTCAAAATATTCTAAATTAGGAGCATTATGAAACCTTCATAAAAATTATGCAATGAAAGGGGGTTGGCATACGGATGTCAAGAGCTTCAACAGTGCTCAGAAGATGGTGGGGATCAAATCCCTAAAGGAGCTATTTGAGGAATCATATGGCTCCTGATTCCTGCCAAATAGAGCTTTGTTACTGCACAAGAGGTAAGCATGGCCTGTCTCTATCACATTGTCACCTGGGACTTGGCCTCTATAGCCTACGAATCCTTCAAAGTTCAATGAGATCATGCTCCCTGAGGAATAAGGGTAAAGGCAACTTTTTGTGGCACCATTTGCAAATCTGGACTCTAAGGACGATTAAAAAGAGACAATTTGAGGAACTCTAATATGCTGTGTCATCAAAAGTCCAGAAGAGAAGTTGAGAAATATTTCAAGTCCCTGTTGTTGGGTTGGAGGAGGCAGAGCTGTAGTGTTGAGAGCCAGGTGAGGGAAATGTTGAGTGAGGGCTAGGCCATTGTAGGACATTGACAACAATATTTGGAGAAATCAGAAAAGACGTTTTAGATGTGTTGCTGTCATTTTCGTTAGGTGCCCCATCTTTCTCTGGAGGAGTGCCTAATGGTTTTGAACTGTGGACCCTCCACATGGCTAGATCTATTTATTTATTTATGGAGGTTGTGGTGGTTGGGGGCACATTTCCATCAGTAGAACTTTCACTAGCAGTGTTTTAGAGATGTTTAAAATGTGTTCATAATGAGATGACAGTTACAATTCCAAATCTTCTCAATCATTTTGCATAAAGAGGTAAAATTATGGGATAAAAATCACTGGGTAAAATTAGTATGGAGAATTCCCCACCCTAGACACCCATACTTTGTAGGACCCAGTAAAATGACCACGGTGGTGGAAAGTCCTAGCTTGGGCCAGCAGTAGAAGTTGGATGAGGGACTTGTGTTGAGTTCTCCTCTAATATGCTGCCCATGGCAGGACAATGCTCTGATCCTTTTCCCTGGGACAACGTGGGTGCCTGCATGGTCCTATCTCTTCCTGTGCCTATGCTCAGGGCCCCACAGAAAGGAGGGTGCTGAGGTTGGGAACAGGTATGGGTTTGCTGGGTGAGGCACAATGGTTGAGGGAGTGGGCACTCTCAGGAAGCAGGAAGGAGGTAGGACATTCCCAGCTTCTGCCTTGTACCCCATTGTCCCATCAGACTTCACTTACCAACCAACCACAAATTCAAAGGCACAATTATTGAGAATTTCAGAGTAGCATCCACAGGCATTAAAGCTCACACGAATGTCGGGTTCTGTTGGCCATTCTGCTCACCAGCCTTTCTTTTAGCCCACAAGACATGGGCAAATGTAGAAATGAGAGCCTCTGAGTTTGAGTGGCAGCTGAGGGGCTAGAAGGGTCCAGTGGAGAGGCAGGCCAAACAGAATCTGCTACAGAGAAACTTGAAAGCCTGGCTAAGGATTCAGCCACCCTCCTAGGGAGAAGAGGATCCTGCACAAGGGTGAGGAGGGAGCAGAAAGTAACTTGCTGATGGGATGCTTTAGGACAATTGATTTCCAGTATGAGAGTTTTCAGAAGTTGGCACCTCCAACTCCTTAATTTTTGGTGTTTTTTAGACTTGAAAAAATGAATGGGAAGCTCTTTCTGGATCAAAGCAGGCCACTGACGTGGAAGGCATCTCTCCCTCACTTGTCCCTCTCATTCCACGCACAAAGTGTGTTGGCACTTTTGACTTTTTTCTTTCTCGCCCTTCCTTAACCGTGGATTTTTTTCTACTTGAGGTCTAATGAACACAGCCTACAATTCAATAGTTGAGTCATATGAAGAAGGGCTGTGTAGTCCTCACCACAGTCAACTTTGGAATTTTTCTCCTTTCCTTTTGACTCCCTACTTCCCGTATTCTCCCTTCCTATGTTCCCAGGTAAGCATCCATCTTGTTACTATCTTCGTAATACCACTTGGCCCAGTGTGCCTACGCTGTTAAATATACAAGGCTAGGCCAGACAACTAATAAGGATCCATAGAAATTGACCATATAAACTGATATAGACCTTGATCAAAGAGAAAGAAGATTGTATTAACAATTTATATATGCAAAATTCTAAAAGCTTCACTAGATACCCCAGAATTGATAGAGGAATATATCAGAGTGGCAGGATCCAAGATCAACAGACAGAAGTCATTGGACTGCTTTCTACACTGGACAAGACTAAGGGGATCAAAAAGGTAGTATTCTTCACAATAACCAAGCACAAATTGAAATATCTAGGAATATACCTGATTAAAAACCCAAAAGATTTGTATGAGGAAATCTACAGAACACTATTAAATGAAACCAAGAGTGACCTCAACAAATGGAAGAATATCCCATGCTCATGGAAGTGAAGACTCAATATAGTGAAGATGTCAGTTCTGTCCAAGGCACTGTGTGAGTTCAATGCTATCTTGACCCAAATATCACCATCTTTCTTCAAATAATTGGAAAAACTGATTATCAACTTCATATGGAGAGGGAAGAAACTCAGACTTATCTGTGAACTCCTCAAGAGTAAGGACAAAGTTGGAAGGCTTGCTTTATCTGACTTTAGCACCTATTATACAGCCACAGTGGTCAAAACTGTGGTACTGGTATAATGATAGATATTCAGACCAAAGGAAAATGACTGAAAACCCAGAAATAAAATTATCAGCATGTAGACAGCTGATCTTTGATAAGGGCCTAAATAATATCCAATGGGAAGTGGATGCCCTCTTCAATAGTGGTGCTGCTTAAAATGGATATCTACCTACAGAAAAATGAAGCAAGACCCTTTTCCCACCCCATGTACAACAATAAACTTAAGGTGGATCACAGACCTTGAGGCAAAACCCCTAACTATTAGGGCCATCAATGAGGGAATTGAGACCAAATTTGGCACAGGGAATACATAGGTATTCAGAAATGGGGAAGGACACAAACACAGAGGAGGCACAAATCGACAAGTGGGGTATACTGAAGATAGAACACCTGTGTACTTTGAAAGAATTCACCAGGAGAGTAGTAAGAGAGACCACGGACTGGGAAAACATCTTTAGTAATGACACATCAGTCAAAGGCCCTGTTTCTAAAATCTACAGTACTCTGGTAACATATAACAAGAAAAAAACCCCACAAAACAGTTGCCCACTGAGGAGGTGGGCAAAGGACCTGAAGAGAAGTGTCTCAGGGGCAGAATTCCAAATGGCCAATAAGCATAGGAGAAAAGGTTCCAGATCCCTACCCATCAAGAAATGCAAATTAAAACAACTCTGAGATACCATCTAGCACTCTCAATGGTAGCACAATTCAAAGCATCAGAAAGTAACACGTGTTGGAGCAGCTGTGGAGACATAGGATCTCTCACTCACTGCTGGGGACCTGTAAGTATGTATAGCCATTATGGAAATTAATTTGGCTATATCTATAACAGATGGAAGTTTAGCTACCAAAGGACCTAGCAATCCCCCTACTGGGCATATACCATAAAAGACAAGAAACAAATCACAGCCAGACATCTTTGCTCCAATGTTCATCACTGCGCAGTTCACAATGGCAAGGAGGTGGAAACAACCCAAGTTTCCATCAATGGATGAATGGATTAAAAGTCAGTTGTACATATGCACATTGGAGTACTAAGCATAGCTAAAAAGCTGTGATGAACTCATGAAACACATTGCTGTATGGGAAGCACTGGAGGAAATAATGTTAAGGAAGCCAAGCATAAAAGCAGAAGTACAACATGAGTCTGCTGAGGTCAGAAAAAAAGAAAGAAAAATGGGAAAGCTTCTATGTACATACTTTCCGGAGTTTGGTCCAGGTACTATGGCAGGTGCCCAGCCCAACCCAGGGATACCGATGGCAGCCAACTAATGAGGAGGGGAGAAAAACAGAGAGAGGGACTGTGGTAGCCGGGGAAGAGGGCACTAATCAACTACCCCGCACACCAAGATGTGAATATAG